AGTATAATGTAGCTTTCCATAGGTTAAGAGCTTCATGATCGGATCGGTATTTCCAAAGATTACTGCCACTAAACAAACAAAGTCAGAAACTTTACCTCTTTAGAATATTAGTATAGGTTTAATTATTTATGAAAACTTATTAATTATTGTTAAGCGCACCATCAGCGTTAGTGGGTGTTAAAACGTCATATTATATACTCATATTTTAAAGAGTACACTGATTAGATATGACACAATGGAACTATTTTATATTTTTAACAACGTATTAATGTAATACTTATGTATATACGTATTAATAATGTACTTAACCTGTGTACCACAATAAAATGATTTGATATTATTAGGAAAGATTTTATTGTCAGCCTATTTGTTTGCCTTGATCTGGCTCAGAAACTACCGGATTGATATTAAAAATTCTTTCACCTGTTCTAGCCGAAAACTATGTTGTTCATTGCCTATCAGCTGTTTAACCTGGTTATAAAATTCCTTGTGCCGTATATATTCGAAAACCTTAGCAGAGGCACATTATTATTATTCATCGGCGGTATTCATTCACTATATTTGTCGATATTAAAAGATTTCTATTTTTACCTTTGTATAGGTATAACTCTAGAGAGCTTCCATTGGGCAGGGTATATACCATTTTACAGACAGAGATTCATAATGTGACAGAGAGGGAGAATTACCTGTTATATTTTATATTGCAGGTCTTAAGGATAGAACCAGGTGCATTGTCAGGACCCAATGAGCTATCTGGCTTCAGCCTACGAATTCAGTATTTGATATTATGTGGCGTCAAGGCCGATAAACTGATATATCACCGTGATAAACCTGTTTGAGGGATATACTGCCAATAAATAGAGGTGATTCATCCAAGAAGACACTAGAGAAATAATCAGCAAATGACTGGGCAGCCTCGACACCCGTATATTGCCATTATCACATCATATCATCGATTATTATGGCTCATTTATTGAATCATTAGTTTTTTTTTAAGATACGTCTTGCCTCTCCTGACTTCTAATTTCATTTATCAATTACGATTGTATAAAGCTCATCCCAGACACTTAACTACTTAGATTATATATTCGAAGCGTAACTATTATGAGGATTTTGTATTAAAAGAGAAATATTTTCGGAGAGTTTATTGGTCCATGAAGATAATAGGAACAATGAATAATTGAGCTCTCAGTCCGCAAGAAATTCTCAAACAGGAAAATAAACGTATAATTTAAATTCTCTATGCAGGAAAATTTAAACACAATGACCGAAGAGTATAAGTACACATATCAAAGAGAAATATTGATTCGATTTTGTATTGTTATTGTCTCTGTGTTGTCTCCATAGAGACATTTATGGCGAAGGAATATGAATTGTACAGTCATGAGTTTAAAAATGTGATTTCTCCAAACCGGTTCCAGAGTTAAATTAGCTCAAAATCAGCGTATGCTAAACTGGAACCATTTTGGGTATTTTTTTATCTTAATGCTTATTGTATATTTATCTTTTATTTATATTTATGTATAATAATTGTTTTTATTATTATTATATTTAATACTTTAGATATAACGTTTAAATAGCAGTGCAACTTTAATTTATATTACCAAGAAAGACTATAATAAAAATCATGTAGTAGGAGCAATCTCAGAGGGCGAGTATTAAAGATCACTAAATTTTGACATCCAAATAAGCTGTAATTGAAAATTAGAAAATGATTACTATAGTATAAAACCAGACTACATCTAAAACACGCTCTAGTTAGTCTAGTCTAGCTAAGTGAGCTATATTATTTTAGAGATGACCAAAAGACTGCGTAGTCGTATGCCACTGGTCATAACAACACAAATTATTGTGAACAGATAGTAAATAAATAACGCAATTAGTTATTACTAAGCGTAGCGCAAAAAGTTAAATTGCCCACGGCAAAAAAGTACTGTTTGCATCAAACAATTTTAAACTCGCAAAATTTATATTGCGACGACGTAAATGACCTTATGGCCGATGGAATCATAACTGCTGCATGATTCCATCGGTCATAAAGTCATTTACGTGTTTACCATTTTTCTTTATAAAAAAATAATTATAATACCATAGGAAATAGAGTAAATTGAGAGTTTTAGGGATAAATTTGTTATTTAGTTTTATATAGAAAAATTTATTAATTCATATTTTGGATATGACATATACAAATATGATTTTAAATTATATTCTTTAAAATAATAAATTTAAATTTAAAATAATACCAAACCAATTGAAAGTTAGTCACCGCGACCGTCAATTTGTGTCAGTTCTATTTGCAAGTCTGTCTAAAACAGCCAGTTTCATCCACAAGCGGACCACTGCATACCATTATGCATCCAACCGCCGTCAACTTAAAGCCGCAATAGTCTACCATGCCAATGATGATTTTTGAAATTTATTCACCTATAGAATGGTACATCATTCGCGGTAACATAGGCTATAATTTATGAGGATGAAATCACAGTAAAATATTAAGTTATAGAATAAAGACACAATTAATCATTTTACAAGGTAATATAAAGAATAAAAAATGATATTAACTTTCACAAAAAGAGTATAATAAATAAAAGGAAGGCTCCTTATTTGTAACAATGGAATTACAAATGTATCGTTTGGCAGAATAAATTAACTCGAGTTAGAAATTTCGCCTATAATATACCAAGAGCTGACTCTATACAAAAGCAACATAAAGAAATAGCAAAATAGGAGTTAGTAATTATAATGCATATTGTGTGACTAAGCATAACTTATAGTTTGCTTTTAAAGATCATAAATATTAATGGAAATCTATTTCATCACGATTCGTTGCTATATACGTATAGACGTGTACGTACAAACTTCGGGATAGCAAAATATATTATTATATACATTTTCATTTAAATTCCTATAACAGAGATACTAGATCTTTCTTTTATTTTCTTTCGTTGGAAAGATTAGATTGTCCTAAGAGTACACGCAATAGTACACTGATAAATTAACCGACTTATGAACACTACGGAGACTCGAAGTTATTGAGAACTGACGAAAGAGGTTGCATACGTAGGTATATGGAACCTCTTTTTAAATTCTTAACACATGCGGCGACACACAGAATAGTAGACTTCCGAAAGCACACTAGATATTCCTTTAGTAGTGTACTCTTAGGATAATCATTAGAAAAGTCTTAATTAAAAAAGAAAAGTGAGAAAAGAAAAAAAGAAAGGTAGAAATAAAGTGGTTTCAACAGTACTCTATGGTGGAATTTATTATCATAAAAAAATAATTGCTCCATCTTATAAAGGCACCAGTATTTAAAATCGCAAAAACTTTCAGAATACTATATATAGAATGATTTTTCTTACAATACTTAGATTTTTATCTAAGCTAAACCCGGGTACAGCTAAACAAAATTTCAGATTTATCGCTTGAAGACAACTACTTTAAAATTCAGTTACGAAATTTGGCCAATATACATACGCTGCAAGCAAATTTAAAAAAAAAGCATGTAAAAGTGGCGTCAATAGCAAAGGAAACAATCATTAGAATGCAGGAAACAAAGTCCTTCAATGGCGTTATTATACAGAAAAAAAATTATTACGTTTCATTTTCATCGAACAAGATTAATAAAGAAATCGTGAAAGGAAAAATTTTGAACATTAAAGTTGCTAATGTTGTAGCTCTCTCACAAGAGTATTTTTTACTGATAAAGGTTAGGCTAATCGGTGAGATTACAACGTGTCATAGTCATTTAGCTATCTTACCATTACTGTGGATCGGTGCGTTTTAGACCTTACCCTACATGAGACACGGCAATGGCATAAGACTTATTAAACCACACCGCCCTTAGGAGACTAAATTCTATTTTACTTACTTTTACTTATTTGACGTTAATTATAATAAAGTAACATGACTTTTAGTCTTGACCATCATTGACAATAAAATTACCATCACAGAGATTTGAAAACCCGATAAACACGAGATGAATTATACTTCTAGCTCTGTATCTATCTTTTCCTATACTAAAGTATAAATTACTTTTTCTGCTCACGGTTTACGTTTTCCTTGCCGTACTACATCAGGTGAGACACGGGCTATGCGTTTTAGGCACTGTTCCGCATTCAACCAGTTAATGATGAAATTAACTAGAAGTTTCCTATTTAACAATTACTAGTAACTAATTAATTGTAAAAATATTTTGACGCATTATTTAAAGCAGCACTCTATGAAAACTTTTAACTATGAAGAATTTTAATTGACTTTAAGGTATTCCTAGAAATAAAAAATATTTTTCATTGACTCTCCTCGCAATTTTGTCCTTTTAGTTATATGCACACTTTTAAGGTTTTATGTAAATTCTCTGCAGTAAGACAATAATTGTTGAAGCTACTGAAATGCATTAGTACTAAAAGTTTGTCTAGTTATTTGTAAGTGCATTTCTGCGGAACTGGATTCAAACTTTTGATTAAATTTAAAGAAGCTGCGATTCAATAAGAGTTAGACTAAGAGTTTCAGTAGCATTTGTAGGATTTAAACAGTATCTTTAGCTAGTTTTCTTTGAACAAAATTTGGAGAACATAATGGACAGCCGGGGATGTCGTGATAAGTGGTGTTACTTAAACACTCACAAAAATTTGGCGACCACCGTAATCATGGTGGTAAATTTTTCGGCCAACTGACTCTACCGATTTCAAGGTGACGCCATTGTTGAAGTCCCAGGTTTGATACTTCCAATGAAAACGATTTAAAAATGAAATAAAAATTTTAATTAGTAATTTTAGTTTCTTTATTTTGTTTTTAATCGCATACACGCCGGGCGTAAATCACATCGTCGATTGTTAATGCGTTACTATTTCACATTTTACGCAAGTTGTGGTCCCACACGATGTCACACATTACTATTCTATTGAAGGGTATTTCATCTTATTTAAAAACACGTTTCATGAAAATAAACATACTTCTAAAATCTTTAAGAGGATATTTATATTTCCAAAAGTCTTACTTTAAAAGAATTTGTAATTCACAGCATCTGCTCCCAGGTCTTGGTAGTCTTTTCTCGTCATCCAGAATCCTTCCATGTGATCTATCGAAGCCAATACTGAGGCTCCTTCCCATTGGGCGAACTGCCTAGAAGGCATATCATCAACTTGTACTGATACTCCGGGTAAACGCATTTTCATATCATTGCTCAACCGTGCTACGAGGCCTGGAAACACGCTGGAACCTCCCGATGGCACGATATTGTTATAAAGCAAAGGTCTGCAGTCAACATCGCATTTTAGTATACTGGAACAAATCAGCTCCACCAGTCCTGGACAATTCAAACCTTCTAAAGATGGCCGGAATATACATTCTGGGCATTGGAATCTTTCTTCACCGAGTGATACTTGTTCACCATCAGAAAGGTTGTATTGACCTCTCGTACCATCACCTGAAGCATATGACTCCAACTCTGCAGCGTAATCTTGAGCCACGTAACACATTTCAGCCTGTCCACATTTATTAATAGCCTATTAATGCCCATTATTTCTTACACTATTAGGGCACAAGTCTACCTTATAGATAACATATAGATATTAAGAGGGTTCTGTGAAACCAGGGAACCAACAGCTTAACATACTTCAAAAAACAAAGATCTCGAGATAAAGTTACTTTATTCTGAAAATCGCTGATCAAATGCTCCAATTACTGCGTTATTTTGTTATGTCGATTTCAAAAAAATTAAAAATCTTCATTTTTAGGTTGGTTTGATAATGAACCTGAAGTACATAATTTTACTTTGGTAATTACAAATACTTTTTAAAAACTCATAAGTTATGAACTTTTTTAAGAAATCAGGGTGAGATTCAAACATCAGAGAACGACCGAGTGATCCTATAAAAGTTTCGGTTACCTTCCTTTTGAGGTGCAGAATCCTAAAACAGTCAAAATAAAAAAAATATATAACCTTAATATTTTCCAGAAGAGTTCTGTACTTCGGTGTTTTAAAAGAGTATCCAATTTTTTCCATATTTTTTCCAAGGACATCGGTCAAGAAGTCTCCTGTAATTGGTGAACATTTGGCTGCGTGCTCTAAATGGAACCCTTCGAATATTGGTGTAACACATGAACAGGCACTCCCGTTCTCCCAAACCACTCCTGTGGTCCTCCCACTGGCGTATAACACAGCTACCGGAGTTCTTACCATGTATAAGGATTGTACTGTGAACGTTTCGAACATGATTTCAGCCATTCTTTCTCTGCAAAAACATATTTCAATTTAATAATCAATATAATATTATAAATTGTCAGTAATAAATAACAGATACAGTTATTAAATATTTAGATAATAATTAACCATATTATATAATAACATAAGATTTTTATAACAAAAATATCATATTGAAAATAAACTGATGATATCGGTCTATCACCATTTGTTATTTCCGTATGATCAGTAGAGTCCCATAATATCATTTTACATATATTTGTGTTTATATCCATTATAATATATGTACTGTAAAATGGGGTTGTTTTGACTTATAACAACTTCAAATTGAAACAAAACTCATTTTTTTTTATTATTTCTGAACGTATTCAAACAGTTTTTTTTATTAGATTGGTAGCACTGAAAGTACGAAAAGCATATGGCGTCCATAAAGTTTACTGTCTGCAGGTGTTTTTTCATAAAATAATATTTTTTTATAAGTGTACTGGCGACAAGCTGTTTCCAAGGTAAGAAAAACTCTTAATACACTCAGAAATCATAATACAATATTATATTTTGGTTAATATTGTTTGTTTTATCTAAAAATATACACTTTTTCACACGATTGATGAATTGTTTTTGTTAAGTGTTTTATAGGTTTAAAAATAATGAGAGTGTCTTTGATCACAACTAATCAATGTCACCCCGTAAGACATTTTTTTGAATTAATTATTTTGTTAAGTTTGTGTTGTATATTTACGCAGTTTTATGAATTTTGTCATATATATTGTCTTATATTATAGGATAATCATGCTTCGAGACTACAAAAATAAATTAGGAAGTCGTAATTATAAAAATAATGCGGAATCTATAGTAGAAAAGGCGATACAATCCATTTTAGATGGACGACTTACTATTCGTGGTGCCGCGGAAGAATTTAAAATTCCATATGGAACACTGTACAATAGGTATCATGGAAAACACATAAAAAAACCGGGAGCTCAACCAATATTCTCCGAAGCACAGGAGAAAGCAATCCTGCAAGTCGTGGCAAAGTGTGCTGATTGGGGTTCTCCCCAAAGTCTTTTGGATTTCCGAATGTTCGCCAAAGCCTTGTTAGATAGAAGTGGATGAACAGTACCAAAGTTTCAAGATAATTTACCTGCTGTAGATTGGGAATATTTTTTGCTAAAACGATACAAGGATAGTTTCAGTCAACGCGTTGCTGCCAACATAAAAAGGTCTCGAGCGCAAGTTTCAAGGGAAACTATAACAGTTATTTTTAAAAATTTGGAATCTGTTGTCAGAGATGTCTCTAGTTGCAATATATTTAATTATGATGAATCAAACCTAAGCGATGATCCTGGTAAAAAAGATACATCTATCGGCGAGGAATAAAATACCGTCAAAACTAAGCATTTTTTTCTAAAAGCTGCACTAGTATAATGGTGTGTGCATCTGCAGATGTTATAATAGAAGCACCCACTTATATAACACATGGAAGGAACGCGCAGCATGTGGACCTCCATGCTGTAGTGAGCCATACTGTTCTCTTAGCAATCGATTTAATAGAACAATCAACGGCTGGATGGATACTGCTACTTTCAGAGACTGATTCATAACATGTTTTTTTGTCACGTGCAAAGAGACTTAATGGTCGAAAAGTGCTGATTGGCGACAATCTATCGTCATATTTAGAGGATGACGTGTTAAAGCTTTGTCAAGTAAATAACATTGACTTCATTTGCCCGGTGCCGAATTCTACCCATCTTCTTCAGTGTTTGGACGTAGCGTTCTTTCGGCCCATGAAGGAAGCATGGCGCTTTGTTTTAACTAAATAAAAGGTGGAGAATATGAAGCTAACCACTGTTCCAAAAGACGCCTTTCCAAGTCTAATTAACAAGGCACTCATACGATAGTAATGTTTTGGAAAGAACCGAAAGCGTTTTGACAGATTTATTAACAACGATATGGATGGCCCACACACATCATCAGAAAAAAGAAAAGACTCAATATTCTCTCTGGTAAAAGCATTTCACCCAGCAAGAAGAAATTCAACGCAGCAAGTCTCAAGATAATAATCGAAGAAATCGTATATTGACTAATAAACAAGGGAAAAGATCATTAAAAGAAGAGTTTGATAAAGATAAAAAAGGACTGAAAGTTCTGATAGCTCAAGGGAATCTTCAACTTTACCTCGAGAACAAGAAGAAGAGGAAAATGAAATAAGTAAGGGACGCCGTGTTTTAGCAAAGTTTTATTCTATCCGTTGAAAAAATACCTATCATTATGTGTGTTGTATCATAGACACAACTCCCATAATTGTACGTGGTTTAAAAACAGTCGGCAGCGCAAAAAAAAATTAAATTAGTTTTCGATGATATTTCAGAAATAGAAAAAACAGATAATGTCGCCTTTTTGCCAAAGTCGATTACAAAGAAGGATGAGATGGGGACTGATCTATTTGTATTTCCATTTAAAATTAATGTTTACGAGCTTAATTATTAATTTTTTTCTAGCTTCAGGCAACAGATAGATGTTGATTATGACATATTTTATAATAAAAATCGAAGTCTAAAGAAATACTGATTTGCTGTGATAATTGTTATGAACAAAATGGAAGACTGATTTGTTATAGCTGGGACAACAACTAGTTGTAAATAAAGTTTTGTAATATATTTATTATATTAGCATAGAGATTCAATAAAAAAACACCTATTTGTAAAGGTAATAAACGTCTTTTTATTTCATTGAATCTCTTTGCTTTGCCAACTCTATACTCGACGTTGATTCGAGGCTGATTTTATTACAATATAAAAAACCGAACATTCGTTTACGTGATTTCGTGACGTATTTATGAAAATGGAGGGGCCGTTGCAAATTATTTCCTTTGCACAACGGCATTTGAATTTCCTGCTATATAAATTGCTGTCGATTGCATTAACACTTTTTTATACATTTTTATTTTATTTTATCTCGATGGTGAGGTAAATTCAATTTATGGAATGAAATAAATTTTGTGTTAAGACGGAATCACTAAAGTCATAATGTTTTATAACAAAACGAAGACTAAGGATAGAACTTGGTTTAAACATTGGCTGTCTAAAGTAAATTGATAATGACGGTTAAAATGTCACATTAAGTCTGATTAAGTCGACGACTTAATCAGGTTAAATAGTGATTTAAACTTGGTACTTAAATTATTTCACATTTTATAATAAGACGGATTAGGTTTATACATATATATGAAAAATAACCAATATGTTTTTTAAAGTTTAATAATTATTATACCTAAAAGCAAATGGAGAAAATTATTTAGTCTAAAGTAGACGACCATGACGCATGGCCCAGCAATCGTAAAAAAAGTTATATATTTACATTTTTAGAAGTCAGTTTGACTGTTTTGCATCCAAAGTGGAAATCTCAGCTTTTATACAAAATAACAACAGAATTACAAAACCGCAAGTGCATTATTAATTTTACCCGACTGTGCAACGCAAAGGAGGGTAATGTGTTTATGACTCTATGTTTGTTCCTATATGGCATTGTAGAGACCAAAAGCTTGGCCAATTTTGATGATTTATACGTCAATCGATTTGTCTTAACCTCATGTGTGTCACTAAAAACATAACAGTAATCAAAATTATTTTTAGGGTACCTCCCCACATGTTAAGTGGGGATTATATTTATTTTTTCGTTTCCCTAAACTGTGGGATATTGTTGGATAGGTCTTTCAGGTGTGAGAAGACCGTTTTTAGATATAGTAAACCATTTGCAAATTATTCAGCTTTTAAGTGCCAATAACTACTTTGGACTATGCTGTGATTTATTTAAGTTCGCGAATTTTTACTAAATGTCAAGCATATGTAGCTTTGAGCTGAGTGAGGTCTCTAGAGGGACTAATCATCAGTAGTTTAGACCACCACAAGTTGCTTAATAACCTTCAAGATATAAACTATCTCAATGAAATGACAAAGTTACGAAAATGACCATCTTATAGTTTAAATAACGAAATCAATGAGAACTAACTAAAAAGTGTAAAATAAAAATTTAATTATAAAAAACAAAAAACGCGACTGCTTTAAAACAAAAGAAAGAAATGAAAAAAATATATAATTACTTTCACTAAAAAGAAAAAACAAGCCCAGTAGTTTGGAATGTTATTAAGTACTATTGAACAACTGCTCCATTAAGATTCAAAGATTTATTCAAATTATACGGGGCTCCGTTGATTGGCCAAAAAAGAATGGGTCCGGAACGTTGATCCTTCTATTATTATTAAGACTCCGCTGTTCGACCATCTGTTACTAGTCTATATCTCATGAACCGTGAAAGACAATTGAAATTTTCATAGATAATGTATTTCTTTCGCCGCTATAACAACAAATACTAAAAACAGAATAAAATAAATATTTAAAGGGGCATCCATACTACAAACGTTATTTTTTGAGGTTTTTATGGATTATTGGTACGTAACTCATCGTTCGCGAGTCTGACCTATGTATTTTATATACCGTGAACCTAATAACCAAAAAAAGAACATTATGTACGATTTTTCCGTATGTTTATTGTATTGTTTGCACGCATTCATAACATCACATAAATAACTGGTCAATCTTAGTCAACCAAACACAGGGAAGTTTGTTGTATATTTGTAATAACATGTGTGACATCATCGACCACATGGTGATGCGCTGATTATTGTTTATAATCTGAACGTTTTTTATTAATGCACGAGCTTAATACAAACAGTAAATTATGATCGTCCCACAGACTTAGTAGGTATGATCGTCCACATACACTTTTTTTTCTTGGTACATACATATATAGTAAAGGCGAAGGAATCTTACCTCATATAGTATTTCTGACACATTGTTGAGGTATATTATGAAATATAAGTTTATCTTTAATTTTTTATCTCAATTACATGTTATTATAATTTTTTTTATATATTTATCAGATAGAATATTGTACCGCGCACCGAACAGGCTTTGCTAGAATATCAGCGTTGATGTGGTACTTTCCGTGTCACCTCAACACCAGCT